TTTTTTTTTCTTTTTTTTTTTTGGTAGTCATTTTTGCTTCACGACGAGTGTTTGGTTCTGTTGAAGACGACAGTTAAACGCTGAATTTTCTTTGTTTTATTTTATTTTAGCTGATTTGTTTATTCATTTTTGGACTGAAAGGAAGAAAAGAAACTTCTGCATAGTATCATCTTTTTTTTTGTGTTTTCGGATTGGTTTGTATATCATGAGAGGTTTTGATAATCAACTTGTATTTTATACTGTGATTTTTTATTAATAGAAGTGCCTTGATTTTATAGCAACGCTGGTAAACAGTGTTAAGATTTCCATTATTGCTCAGTTCTTCTTATTAGTATAACGGCCACTTTCGTTCTGCTGGCTTACAGCTGTCAAAATTGGAGGTCATACAAGCAGAGAGGTTGGTTTCACGGCTACCTTTTTAGATATAATTGTAGTTGTAATATATCTCTTTAAACTAGCAATTTTTTCTTTTTCAAATCGTTTCTCTATTTTATTCTCTTCAATTACGACAAATGTTTCAAAAAAGTTTTTGATAAGTGGTAGCGTTAATATGCTTTTTTAAAGTTTAATTTTGAGATTTGGCTAGTGGCGTCTTTGTTATTCATTATATAGTACTGTTTAAGACGGTAACTGTGCTACTAATGAATTTTTTTTTTTTGTGATATGGATATGTGATTTTAGCTTGCTCCGGAGGATTTGACGATCAACAGATGCTTTGGAATGAAAAATTATTAATTTTTTTAGAGTGACCGACGACTTGCGCTTGGGTCACTTCGTGCAACGCGACCATTGACTGCACAACATCTTGCTGAGCCATTATATAGCGCCCCCCAGCTTGGTACCGGTAGCGTTCGTTCCGACACTCGATCGGCTTCTTCAGTACCATATTTAGTACACAATTTTTTTTGTTTCGAATAATTTTGTGTTAAAAAAGCAGTTTAGAGAACCAATAATATTTCTTTTTGTTTTTTACCTGTTATAATTTTCCTAATTTGTTTTTTACATTTAATGCAATTATTTCGCATTCTACATTTTGTTTATCGAGTTTTAACCTTTTTTTCTATCTTCAGGTTGGGACTTGTCCATCTCAGAGCGGTACTTTACAGTCACCTAACTCACAGCTGACGTTACCCACCACGGGTTCTTCAGCTTCTGCCAACGTTTCTTCTTACAGTCAAGTTGCTGGTGAAATACGTGAAAAAAATCCGACTTTGGAAAATATATCAAGTGAGAATTCGGTTAACCATTCGAGTAAAATCCATCATTCATCTGCTAAACCATCTCTACTTCGTGCACTGTTGAAGAAAAAATCCAAGGTTAGTTTTGCTTCTTTTGCCCTTAGTTGCAGTCGAGCTAGAAGGAATTATATATTTGGAAGGAATTTTATATTATGACTTTGCCAATTGATCACAAAGTGTTTGTGCACATGAAGGGTTAATGGACATTTGTAATAATCTTTCAAGTTCTAAAAGTTCCTTGGAACACTATTTATTTTTTGTTTCATTCGTGTTCTCTTCTGACTTCCTTAGTCTTCCTCAAAGCTCCCCTAATGTGTTTAGATGCTGATGTTCTATATTGTAACAAGAGTTTTTTTGTTATAGCTTTCAAAGGCTTAACAATTTTATGGTATTTACTGCCCTATTTATCAGTATTCAAGAATTAGAATTTTTTATATGTAAGATTTAACTTTTGGACCCAGTACAGTGTGCTTATAGTTTTTGTTTTTTACACCTGCTTTATTTTTGTGGTTTTTGGAAAACTGCTCAAAGTTCGCTAAAACTTTATCTTTTTATTCATTAAAATCTCTGGGGGAGGACTTGGTATTTTTTCCCAAGGTACTTTTTTACAATTTTTTATTGGCTTTATGCAACAGAAAATTATATAGAGAGGCTAGGTTCTTTTTTGCTTAGTAGAATGTTTTGCTCTTGCTCCTTGAGGAACCTGATTATTGCATATACAGTATGAGCCAAGTTTTGTCTCCTCATTGGTTTTTTCTTTTTAGGCGGGGGGTAATCTTTATACTTCTGTGATTTTTCATCTCAAAATCTGTCGCTATGCTTCTTTTCACTGTTGCTTTTGAAGTCCTCGTGATCTCTGTATTATCACCTGAGGTAAAGTATTGTTTAAAAAGATATGGATTTCCTTCCTCGATTTTTTTAGTTACTGAAGTATATGACTTTCAGTAGACTTATGCTGAGCTTTTTTCGGATCTGCATTCAGAAATCACCGGATGGGTATAGGAAAAGCCGAATGCCTTTTAAGTTAAGTTAGAGGATAGGAATACTTTAAACGTGCAGATGCAAGACTTTTAGTGCGTTAAGAGATATTTTTCCAAATTAAAATTTCCATGATTTCACAGACAATGAATACATCAAAAACAAATAATTGCTCAATTTTTTGAAAAAAGTATTTTCATTTCAAAAAGGCGTTATTGTGAAAGTAAGAGATGGTGACGTTAGTAGGAAGACGGCAGACAAAAGGCGAGCAGCCATTTCTATATTTTACCTCTATGATTTACTCTACTAATCTAGCGGTACAGTAGAAACTAGCCGCGTCGGTAAAGCTAGGCAGGTTCGAACACTTGAAGATATAACGTATTGTGAAATCAGATAGGGAGACTTCTTGATGTTCTCTAGCGTCATGTGGGAAAAGAAGCTTTACTAAGGTTCATATTTTCTGAATATGATTAATATCTCTTTCTGTTTGTTGAAATAACTTTATTTGGGGAAAAATCAAGAAGAGCTACTTTCTTGATCCCAGAAAGAGAGGAGGGTGCACAATTTTGCTGTTTTCGACTTAAAATGCTTTTTCTGCCCAGAAATATACAATTGCTGCTCCTAGTTGAGAAGGGAATAAGTCTACGAAAAGTTGAGACATGGAGTTTGTAAAATTTTTTTGAGTGTGAGGAGCACTGTTTTTGTAAGATAAGTTCTTAA